AGCGTGACTTTAGCACTAGATTTAGCAACTTTCAGACCCTTTTAGCGGCTTTTTTCCATAGAATATTCATACTGACAAACCTAGCGACTTTTTTCGGATAAACCTTAGCTATGGTTCAGTTGTAAGATTTCGCCTGTGCTGTCCCGCGAACGCGAGGTCTAACTTTCCCAGAGAAGTGTCACCTCTCTCGGCGTCTGATCTGTGCAGTGAGCGGCAGAGAAGCTGCGCATTCAGTTTGGTCATAAGCACTACAGTGAAAGAAAAACAACAATATTAAAAGTCTCCAACAAGACTAGATGAAAAACGGTGTCCAATCCAGATTGGTGCAAAACTGCAATGTACTGCAGTTTAACCTGAGCACTTTGACTCACAAGGCAATCCCTGCTCAGCATTCGGAAGTAAAAATTTTAGACTTGAAATATTGAGGCTGTTCAACATCGAATGATACTAGATAAACTTTGTTGTCCTCTTACCCCAAGAAGGTCTCTGCCATCTTCATCCAGCGGTGGCACCACTTTAGGCAGGTCCTGTCGTGCCCACTTGGGAAAGGAGGGTTTGTAGTCTGGCATTGAGGTGACTCCAGGCCATATAGATTCATCCGGAGTGCCAAGTGTCCGAAATATCCGAAAGAGCTGGTCTATTTCAGAGTCTCCAGGAAACAAAGCCCTCCGAGTGATCTGGTATGAAAAGCCAGAAAGTGTGTCAAAAGTAAAAGAACATATGCAATCAATAAAAGCAAGATGACATGTACATTAAAAAAAAATAATAAAATAAAAATACCATTTCTGCAGAGATACAGCCCAAACTCCAGATGTCAACAGCTGTAGAATAATATTTACATCCCAGGAGAATCTCTGGAGCTCTGTACCACAAAGTTACAACCTATGGAAAAAAAGACAAAATTGCAACTGTTAAAGATCAATTCTGCATATCATCTGCAGGGTCTTTGCTGGTAGCTTGTTTGCATGGTCATCCACACACAAAATTGGTTAGCAATAGCTATTAATTATCAATTAACAATTGAATTTTACACCTACAAGATATAAGAGTTATGAAGGATTTTAGTATGAAATTTTAATTCTAAAAAGTACTCTGTTGCTTCAAGCAAGCAAACATGATGGGGGACTTTGCCCCTTTTTTATTTGAGAAGAGGTGAGGTGGGGGGGGTCATATTTTACACACACTTCTTAAAAATAATTCTTTAACCAAAATGTTTGATCACTGTAGTATTTGCGTTTTTACAATTCATGCAAATATGTGCTGAATATTTATATTGTTAGGAGATACAGATATTTGAAAGCATGCTGCTTGGACACTAGATGGTGCTATTGGATAAATTCAGTTGTGCCTATACAAACTATGAAAAGTTGTTTTATTTCAAACTATGAATCAAATGAATTTGAACTAATAATGAAACTACAATAAAGTATAGTCAGATTAAATTTTGTGTTGTCTAGCTAATCTCACCAACAGGCCAAATAGATTTTTACTCTTGGCTTCTGAATGCGGCAGATTGATGTCAGTCTGTGCTTTCAAAGGGCGAGGAAGATTTGAATAAACTATACCAATTATAAAACTACTTCATTTTTCTGTGTAGATCACATGTTGCAACTTCCTGCCTATTCAAGAGCTTATTCAATCATCAAATAAATAACCCGGGACTCCAGGCATGACAAAATAGAGTGAAATTACAATGATTGGAAGTTTAGTGAATAATCAGATGTACATTGTACAGATGTGAATTATACAAAAACAGCTCAGAAGTTAACTATGATAGGATAAACTAGGGCTGTGCAATTAGTCGAAATACGGTTTTGGTTTCGATTTCAGCCTCCAACGATTATGAAACTACAATAATCGAGTTAAAACAATTATTTCACGTGCAAATCAGCAAAATCTCGTAACGTGACGTGACTTTTGCAAAATGGGACGTGGTTGAATTGTTAAAGTTGATTAGCTTTATTCATGTTTTTAAAAGTGCCAAAGAGAACTTGCGCTGTTCCTCAGTAGAATTTCTGTGTATGCACTCAGAGACGGAACAGAACACGGACATGTAAAGTCATCTTTTAGCTCAAGGTGCGCACCTAAACATCAAATACATGCAAAAATGTGTCAAAATGTGTCGCTTAGTGATTATTCATGTAAACCCTTGTTGGTTATGTAATAAATGAACATTAACAGATGAGAATGAAAATACATGTGTAACAGTAAATTAGCTCTTAAAGTGACAGTGGGCTATTCCTGCTTCTGACTGTGTGCTTAATATTAATCAAACAACAAAAGACAAAAATCACTCGCTGCTCTAGACTGAAGGACTGAATCTTTAATAAGAAACAAAGGAAGTTTAATTATTACAGTGAAGACTATGCTGTTTTATTTTACATTATTCAATTTCTGTAGTAGCTGTTAACTGAATACATTAGACTTGCATTAAAAAAACGTTTTTCATCTGTATCTTTTTTGTTCTATGGTATTTGTCCTTTTCCTTTTTATTACTGACAGTTTAATTATTTTCAATAATTTGTAGGACTTTTTTGTTTGTTTTTTGCTAATAATAGTTTGTATTTCGTTATGCACAGGTCACAGGTCTTAAAACGGACAGCAGCCTATAAACACCTGCTGTTGTCTGTGCATTAATGTTAATCATACAACAAACCCAGGGCTCTGACACGGTTCAAGAGGAACGAGAACGAAAACTGGAAAAGAATGAAATTTTGACAGGAACAGAACCAGAAACAAAATAAAATTGTATAGTTCTGAACAGAATCAAAAATTTGAAATGACCATTTACCGGTTAATAACGTTATTTTATCGTTCCATTCAGTGGTGTAGTCTACGTGATACGCAGGTATACGCCGTATACACACTAGGAAAGGTCAAGGATTTTGTATACCCACTTAAAGCACGAGGATACGTAACAACATCGTTTTGTAACAGAACTTTCACACGTTCATTCATAAATTCACCCCGTCCATGTTGCGAAGCACCTACTTTTTGAAAATCATGCTGTGTTTCTGTTGATGACCAGTGCTATTATTGCGCAACTTTTGTTTGAATGTGAATCACTAAAGGAGAAATTAAACGAAAGCAAACTCAAACTACACTCTTTCAGTGTTTTTATAAGCCTGCCCCTGAAGCTGCTGATGCTTCAGCTTCATCAGATGACATGAATCGCTTGAATGTTTTAATTGGCAAGGCTTAAAAAAACGTGCAAATGATTGTTTCGTGAGGATGCACCAGTGGCCCATCAGAGCAGTGACAGATCAGTCAACTGTCCTGAGCATCTTTCACATTGGCCTCTGGACATCATATAGTCACTACCTGACCTGGTCATGATCAAAAATGTTAACGAAAGTAATTAAGATTCACTCGCGCCCCCCCAACATCCAACACCCCCCAATTGGTATTCACCTGCTGTGAGAAGGCTATCTGTTTGTGCACTTCAGGTGTGTGAGCGGTGCGCATAGAAACGCTCGATCACAGTACGTGAGTACCGCATTGAGATGTCTTGGGCTTAAATGGCTTAAAATTACTTGAATGTTTAAACCGACAAGACTTAAAACACGTGAGAATGAAAAACTTTCTCTAGGAAGCAGCACTGGCCTGATCGTTAAGATAGTTTAGGGGGGCTAAGGTGACAGGTAGGGGGATGAAACCCACCTAAAAAGGGTTTAGAACCTCCCCTGGTATAGCGTGCGTAATTATACTGAAACATAAATATATAACCAGTTTATCTGATTCAATGTGATGGCTGAGCCTGTTCCTCAGATAACAACATGCCAATCCGTGGTTGGATTTCGACACGGCTAATCGTAAATCATCGTACACTGTCAATAAACGTGACCAGGGTTGCCAGGTTTTCACAACAAAACCCTCCTAATTGATACTCAAAACTCGCCCAAAACTACCAAACGCGGCAAGTGTTAAAGTAGCCCAATTCCGCGGGAAAACCGCAGACTTGAGCGTAACTGATACTCGAGCAAACTCTGCTCTAACTGTCGACTAGCAGTGGGAGTCAGATTGCCCCCTAGTGGATGGCTAAAGATTTGTTAACTCAAATTCTTTGTAAATTTAACTGTCTGAAAACGAAAGTAAATGAGGGGATTTGAAAGATTTCTTATCCTGTGGCTCCCTCTCGTGGACTGCAGTTGTCCTCTAGAGAGGGCATTTTTGCTCAGTCAATGCAAGTCTATGGGAAATCTTTGATTTTTGATAATTATTTATAAAAAACTTTGTCTCATCAGTTAGAAAAGATAGAAACTACAGTCTCTCTAGAGGTCCAAGGTCTCTGACGAGTTTGGTGCCTGTAGCATTAAAGCCCTACAAGCCCTACGAATAATAAGTTTAAATAGTTTAACAGTATGTTGGCTTTCTCAAGCCAACATAACTAGCTAATAACTTAAGTAACGTTAGTGTGGTGGATCAGTGAATGCGAGAGAAGGGGAGAGATACAGCAGTTAACCCGAATACAATGTTTATATCTCGTTGTTTCAGATGACGAGAG